GTATGGATGTGTGTATGAGGGTAAGCATCGTAATTATCTTCTCTTCATTCACACCCACACATTATTACACACTGTGTTCGCAAAAAACACGACATAAATATACACACATCGACATATTATTGTTCAGTACCTGGAACCTCCACCTGCAACGAAAGAGGGACATATACAGCTATATAATTCTAAAGCACCCCTAGCCCCCGCTTCAGTTTAAATCAAATGCCTTTTGTTTATTCTAAATTCAGACTGAAATAAAATACCCCATAGTATGGTAGTTGAAGAACCTTTAGAAAACAATAAAATACTAGCTATTGATCAAATTCACAAACATTATTCTTTTTTCATTGAATCTTTGCTCGAATCCACACATACGAAAAACTGCTGAATACAAATACAGATCAGTAAGATATTTCGGATTCTGGTAGCACCAATGATTGAGAAGATGTAAGACATCATTCCACTGAGAAATAATGCTTACGAAAGCAATAACAACAAAATAGTTACAGAGATTTTCATCAATATGATATCAGCTTTAAAAATGTGCCAGTGCTTAGACGGATAGTTTTTCGAATATGCAGTAGTATTTGTTTATTTCTCTAAGAAATGTTGTGCGATTTTATTTAGTGATAAACAGTATTTTGTTTTAAGACAATTGAAAAAGCTAAATCAGAGAAATCTCTGTTGCTTGTAGTATCTATCAAATCTTTGTTTTATTTTACTAAGAAAATCATTGAAAATCATTATCAAGTAGAATTTACTGTCGCTCTCTCGTAACTTGAAAATATCGTTCAAAAACATTAGTACAATTCTTGAAATAGAAAGAGTTCATGATTAGAAATATGAAAATTTTCAGCGAAAAAACTTAATCATTTTCCCGTTTGTCTCGTTGATGAAAGTCGAATAATAATTTATTAATTTGTTAGCAAAAAACGTAACAGGCAACGTAAGTGTCTTTTATAATGATGCTGCCCAATAAAAAATATTTCTGCAAGATCAACCATGCGAACACTTTGAGAACAAATACTTTACATCGAAACTTTTCTTTGATATTTAAGTATGTGGATGTATGAGAGGAAGTTTTAGTTAAACGCAACTAACATGCAATATCTTTGAGGCGTGATTTGACTACCAAGTATCACTTGAGAAAAAGACACGCCAAAGTGAATACGATTGGAAGTCATTTCATCTTTTTTGTCAGGCGTTATGACCCTCTTTTTATATCATGCCTTAAGACGTGCCAATTCAATCTAATTCACTGAAAAGTTTGAAGCATAGAGCATTAACTAAGTACTATATCAGGGCCATGCTCTTACATCGACTTTTTCTCAAGTATGAGACAATAGAGATGTTCTTTCTCAAAAGTATGTCGATGTTACATTTGTTCAAGCCATCAACATGAAATATATGTCATACCAACTTAGTTTTCTATTTCAGTTTAGAAAGTCAATACAGTGATGAGTACTTTAGCGTTTATTTGTGATCTGATTAAGTGAAGTTACTAAATATATGCTTGGAAACACGAGAACAACATGTAATGCACAATTTTTAATGAATTTTCCGATATTCGCGATGCGACTCAGCCTTCAGTTTGCTATTAATGAATTAGTCATCTCTTGAAAAATTTATTTTCGTGAAACATAGAATTTCATCATGTTCTAAAGTTATTTACAAAATAAAAGAAAAAATCAAGAAGATCTTTATTATTTGTTGGCAATTTAATGAAGTCCATGTTTTTAGTTTGTTTAAGCCATTCTCGGAATTGATTTATATCCAGAAAGATGTATGAATCATATTCTATGAAAAATATCATATGCCGTTATGCGAATTGAACTTTGTAAGGGGTAGAATTTCATATTTTAAGCTCAATAAAAAGAACATTTCAATTAAATCCTTCTATGAAAAGAAGTAGAACAATTACACGTTAAATTATTTTTAATATAAAACTAGTTCAATATGACAGATAGAATGTCTGTCTAGTAACGCCCGTTTTTATTCTGTCATTAATAAATGCTATAAAACTGAGTTACTTCTGTTTTCTACTTCGTTTGAAACATTCCTTGATGTTTGCATGTTTGTTAATGAGACCACGTGCTTATGTCACAAATTCACATTCTACAATAAAACAGTATCCATTCTACTTGTGGTTGAGATTAAATCACACATTCGAGTTTGTTAATAAAATTCAATTAGAGATTACACTGTCTACTGCAGCTCACGTATAACCAGATATTTGTTTTTAACTGCATTAATTAGTTTTGTTCATTTGATTCAAGTTAACCAATGATACGAGTAAAAATAGGAAATAGAAGAAATGACAGGAGCTTGCAAGAGATATTCTTTGTTGTCACTGTTAGAAAAGACTTGCATTTTACGTTTAGAAGTTATTCCAACAAAGGTTTTTTTTTCTTCTTAGCTCATTAAGAATCTGATTAGGCATGGCATCGTTGTTGGCTAAGTCGCTCGCCGTCGCTCAACAAACCATTATCAAATATTTGGACTCAAGTGTGTTTGTGTTGGGCACCATTGGCTCTCTGATGAATATAGTACTCTTCTCTCGAAGAAATCTGCGATCAAATTCCTGTTGCACTTGTAAGTAATCTGCAATCGGACGAAAATTTAGTAATATTAGAGATGGATAACGTTTTCTAAACAGTTTCTTTTCAACTCTCTCAATTGCAAAACGAAACAAAAACCATATTTTTCCTTCATTATAAGTTATATTGAGCATTAGTGACAAATAGTGTTTATTCGTAGATTTTTTTGCATCATCATTTGCTGCATTAGTCCTGCTTTCGATCGGTATCATACCTTTAATTTATGCTCAATTCAATTCTCCAAATCCATTTTTCTCCATCAATGCTTTCTGTAAGACCCGTGTATATATTAATCAATGGAGTGCCATGTCATGTCGATGGTTACTAGCTATGGCATGTGTCGATCGTTGTGCTGCATGCTCGACAAGTGCTAATATTCGCCGCCTTTTAACAGTTAAGATGGCTCGCCGCATAGTAATCTTGATTTTCATTATTTGGATGATTTTTCCTATTCATACATTGATCTTTATCAATATTGTACCGCCAGGTAATACTGGATGCATGATATCAAACAATAGTATGGCTATTTATCATAATATTTATACAATTATTATGGGTGGTACATTACCACCTTTAGTTATGCTCATATCCACACTATTCATCTGGAGAAGTCTAAAAATGAAAAATCAACGTAGAGTTATGATTAGCGTGGTTGGATCAGAAAGACAGAAAAACATCCGTGATCAACAAGTGTTAATCATTCTGTTGGCACAGGTTGCCATCTATATTATATCGACAATTCCGTTCATGTCAAATAGTCTATACACAACATTAACTCGCGAAATACCGAATAAATCCGTTGATCGTCGAGCAATTGAGGGCCTCGCACAAGTAATCACTGAATTATTTGTTTATATATTTCCGGCTTCATCATTCTATTCAAGCACATTAGTATCAGGCACATTTCGAAAGGAATTGATGGTCACATTTAAATCCTTCATTCTATGTCGTTATAGAAGAAAAAACCATATCGGCACACTCAGTCAAACTCTAATGAATGACAGAACCAATGCATTGCCAATGACAACAGTTGGAAAACCCCAACGATCAGCTTTCAATCATCCTAATAGCTACATCAATTGATGAGAACAAAAACAAAAAGAACACTGCGCGACGTGAAAGAAAAAAATCAACTTCTTGTAGTAGAAATTTTATGTCTGTAATTTTTGTCTTGCCTCTTCGTTCTTTAACTTTTCAAGCTGAAGAAACCGTCTCTTGTAAATAATATTACCTGCTTCAATAAACAAGACATGAAATGAGGAAAGGAATAGTGATAGATATGATAGAATAAACTCCAGACAGTGAAAAGATAAAGCATTTATATTAAACGGCTTTTCCTTTTATATAACACCTTAAACGCTCCATCCGGAAAAAACGAAGTACAACACGAGTATAAAAAAAACTTGTTCGCGTAGCGTCTTTGGGACTGAAATGTGGAACTCACATAAATTCTTTAACCTCATTAAAATAACACAAAAAGTAAAGTGACAAATTTCTACTAGTCTATAATTGTTTCCCAAGGCAATCGATCGTCGCAGTAAAGATCTCTCTTAGGGTGTGGATGTGAGCATGGGATGTGTGTAAAAAATCATTTGAAAACAGATCGTCCTATCTCTTAAAAAATAAACAAGTTCAATTTGTGACTCTCAACTCTTGCTTTGCAGTAATCGAATAAGCCGTAAAGTCAAATTAAAATTAATATGCTAAATAAAATAATTAATAAAAAGAAATGCAGAGTTAATTTCGCCGACGCGTTTCGCGCTATTTATTGAAATATTAAAACACTCATTAGTGGTGTACGTATCGTATGTTAAGTTACTATGATATCGATATATCACCTAAGCAATAAAGTTCCTCAGATGGTACTCGTAGCGATAAATTCCTAAGAATTTTTGAAACAAAGATTAAATTTTTACTGTTACCGAAGTAATGAAAGACTTTTTCTTACAGAAGTGCGTTAAGGCAACTAGACACTTCGGATTTACCTACATCAATCATGTGAGATGTTGTTGTTAATTTTGCTTTTGTTGTTCTTCGCAAATGTTCGTCAATGTATTCGTGTTCATTTCGATACGGGGTGTTTCATAAGTTTTGAGGCCTGATAAAAACTAGTTTATATGCAAACAAAGAACAATCTCAAACCAAATGCTTTCATATGAAGTTTGAGTGCTCGTAACAATCTTTCAAATGAGTGTATCATGAGAAAACATATTTTGTAATAGTAAAAATATAAACATGATAATGTTATAATAAATCTTTCGAAATCGACCAACATGAATTTTTTATTAAAATAAGATATTAATTTGATGAGACAAAAATGTGATTTAACCATCATGTATCTGTTTTCCACCATTTTTTATCATTTTGCAGAGCTTGTTAGTAATTCTATCGATCATTGTTTTTATAATCATCACAATTTATTCTTTTCCACTCTTTATTCCCAATGCATTTTNCAGACTGGCTTATCCATTTGAGCTGAAATTTTGGGTTTCTTCCTAAATATGTTAGGCCTACCCACTGTGAAAATATCAGCCAAATCGGTGAGATCGATTGAGCAAGGTTGTCAGGAAATGGTCGTGGCTTACGTGCAATGCCTCATAAGGATACTAATGAAAAACAGCTGAATTTAGTGTAAAAAAGACCACATTTTTTTCCCTATAAAAAGTGTAAAAAATGCGATTTTTTTGGTGCACTCTTTAGATAGTTTTCACTGAATTTTAACCCAACAAGTCTGTTTAAAAGTTTTTTCATATATACAGTTTTGCAGAGCTCGACAAGCTTTATGGAGCCATGTAAACATATCCAAGAAAAACATTTTAATCCATTTTTTAATTACTGGCACTTTACTTTTCCACCGCAAAAAAGTATAAAATTTCTGAAAGTTTCTTAAGTTCGATATTAAAATTTTTTCATAATCCTTACTATTTAGTACCAATGAACCCCATTTTTGGCGAGCTTTCATTTTATATAAAATTCTTTGTCTTCTATTTGTAATTATGGCGGTACTCCCCTGGCAAAATATTATTTGCTACCTAGTAGTAGTGAGATCTCTAAGAATTAAAAAATAACCATTATTTTGTTCAACCGAGGAAAAACTGATAAAATTTGTATTTGTCTGTAGTTTTCGTTTGTTTACGGTAAAGTTAATCTTTATATCGAATATACAAAGGTCCAAATAATTTGTGTCATACATGACTAGACTTCTGCGTGACCATGATTTTTTAGTCACGGTCACGACCTAACTGGTCACGGCCACGTTCGTGGTCACGATGATTTTTCCAAACTAGTCACGGTCACGTGCATGGTCACGAAGATTTTTCTAAACTAGTCACGGTCACGGTCATGATTATAGTCATGAGAGAATTATAGGTTCTTTAACAGTTACAGTCAATGACACTAAAATAATTTCACTAACAAACGACATCTGCAAATGATTACTGCAATTTTTAATTTTTCCTAAACAGATATTGGTTGATGAAAATCCACTTAAACACTATGATAATGATTTTCCATTGATGTAGATAGGTTAACTTGCCGTAAAAAATAATCTCCTACTGGTCTGATACACAGTGCTTCTAACAACAAGAGGGTCAACCATAGTGACAAAGTAGCCAAGACTCTTGCGATATTTTTTGTTGACACTATTTTACACTCTGCTTATGAAGACAACGTGTCAAGCAGACATTTGCTTAGAATAATTTACAATTTCCTTTTCATCGTTTACAAGCTCAATCCTAACTTCTAAATTTTGTAATTAATAGTGATGTATTCGATATCCTGACATAGTTAAACATTGGATTTAGTCAAACGTTTTTCTATCTTTCAAACCATATTACTCTTTCATATTTGACACAGCTTTTTAGATGACCTATTCCAATGCTTGGTACTAGTTTACTTTGGACACAGTGCCCTCATCCACAAGCAGTGTTCAATATAGAAAATGTGTCGTCCGTGTTTATAGTAAACTACTGACCATTTTTATTTTATGTTTCTTTTATTTTATTTATGAAATACTAGATAAAAAAATTCTTCATCGGATGCCGCTAAATATTTATAGTCATTTATTGTCTATTGGTCCTTATATGTAAGTGCCAAGAGTGTTTCCATTAGGCGTAACACTCTAACTATAAATTTAAATAAAAATAAAAATAAGAGTCCTTTGGACTTTAACTTTCACTTTTTGAAAGTTAAATTAAATTTCTTTACTTCTTTTGTAAAGAAATTACTTTTTCAAAAAACGAAATGAATGTGAGAAAAGTGATTCCTTTTATGAAGAAATGATTTTTTAAAATAAACAATATTTTTATGAAAGAAATACTATCTTTTTGCAAAAAACTTTGTGGAAAAATCTACTTCAACTTCAAAGCTTAAAATGATTAACTTTGACTGAAAGTACTGTGTCAAAGTAGTATTAAAATTAAAGTGCGATCATAATCTTGATATCTACACGGTTTACAAGAAGGAGGCATGTGATCGACGGCTCAAAAGATCGATTGAAAGACACTTTTAGATTCGACTGGATTTTGTAGATTACAGTGATGTTTTTAGAATTAATAAGAAGAAAAATGAAAAAAAACACTGAAAATTCGTTTGTCAAAAACTCAAACTTCGCGAAATCGGGATGTGAGCCTTTCTTCATGTAGGAAAGCTCTGATAAATTCATATGAAATATTTCATTTTTTTAAAATTCAATTCTAATAATGAGCACCTTGAAAACTTTGTGATACTTTGTTTAAAAAACAGAGTGCCATTTTACACTTTGATGACAAAAATAAAATGTCATTTGACTTTTTATTTTTTCGATTTCTATTAGAAACACTGGTCACGATCACGACCTACTTGGTCACGATCATAGTCACGGATATTTTTCCGAAATTAGTCACGGTCACGGTCACGCGTGACTGTGACCGTGACCACTTTGCAGAAGTCTATACATTACGAAATATAGCGTATTTAAAACTATATAAAATATGCTGAAGCTGTCTTCTAATGCTTGTGACACTGTTAAAAAAAATATAGGTCTATTCGAGAAAATATATTTATTTTTCCATCTTTTTTGGTACTTCCCACAATTTCACATGGTATGTTGCATCTTCGGATTCTGCAGTAAAATACTTAATTCATTTTTCGTAGAAAATTGAATGGCGAATCTTTTGATAAAAAAGGCATTCCGATCAAGTTCATAGAAGAGAAGAACTTAAACATACGAACAATACAATTATTCTTGAGTCACTTATTAATATTTGTTTTCTTTTTCTTTTTTTAAACTTTATGACCTACTTTTTTTTTATTTGCTAATATGCAAATAAAATATGTTCTAATTGAACATTACAACGATAATTGAGTTAAATTTTTATTTTGACAAAAAGAAATAAGATAAACATCCTGATAATTCTCCAACCGTGCATCCTAACTCAATTAAGAAAATATCTCAAAAGGTGAAGTTAGCTAAACTTAACGTTTGACTAGAAATGATGTATAAAAAAAAATCCTATATTTTGTTATGTTTTTAGTGAAAATCCTATAATTTAGAAAACTAAATTCTATACAAATTCCTATATTTTCAAAAACTCGTAATCCGAAGTCAGGAATATGTAATCTGTTTGGTACTGATGCATTAGCAGTACTTTATCAAGATTTTATCTTTCGGATTTGTAATTTCAAACTCCGAGAGGGCTAACTCCATCTTCAGATAAGCATCACAGGTGTCGGCTCTCACGCTGGATAAAATACTATGCAGTAGTTGAGAATATTTCTCATAGAATCTATGAAATCTATTTCATAGAAAATAGATCATTCTTAATATAAAGAATATCTAATGATCAATCAGTTGATTTTGCAATCAATTAAATCAAAAAATTTTTCATTTTGTATAAGATTAGAAAATGATATGTTTCTCTTAATTTTTCAACCTGAACCTCTGAAATTTCATTTTTTCAAATTTAGAATATTTTACTCTATTTTCAAGAAAGACATGTGCTTCTAGAATTTATAAAATCTTTCTTTTAAAATCAATGAAGTTATTTTAAGAAATAAATATTCACTAAATTTGAATCTTTTTCTTCTTCATAGAACGACAACAACGGCAAATAAAAATTATTGATCTAACAGAAACAAATTTAGTAGAACATCAATGTACAGTATATAGGACAATTCAATCAAATACTAATGTTGAAGAATGTGCACAGAAATTAATTAACATGAATTTACATTCAGGACAAGAAGTATGTTTTTGAGAATATTTAATGAATTTAATTGAATCCATGTTTTTAGATTGAATTATGTCAAATGATTGTTGATATTTGTGCACAACAACGAACATATGAACATGCTTTTGGTTTACTTGGTCAACATTTTTGTTTATCAAGAAAAGAATATGTTGAATATTTTGAAAAGATTTTTCAAGATCAATATAAAATTATTGATTATCTTGAATATGTTAAATTAAGAAAAGTTGCAAAATTTTTTGCACATTTACTTGTTACTGATGCAATATCATGGGCTGTATGTATTTGTTTAAAAAAAGATAAAAATAAAATAATTATTCTTTCTTAGGTGTTTCGTTGTATTCGTTTAACTAAAGAAGATACAACATCATCATCACGTGTTTATATATTTAATTTATTTTTAGAATTAACTGAATATCTTGGTTTAAATAAACTTAAGAATCGTTTAACTGATCCGTATGTTGTTATCGTAATATGAAAAGATAATCGCAGATTGTATTCTTTGCTTTTTATTATAGAACATTGACAGAATATTTTCAAGGTCTTTTTCCTCGTGATAGTCCAAAAAATAGTCGATTTTCAGTCAAGTTTTTTACATTGATTGGTCTTGGTGATTTAACGTAAGTGTTAAATTTATTTTAATTTAATATTATCATTGTTTTTTCTTTCTTCATAGAGATCAATTACAAGAATTTCTGACAACGAGTTCTACATCAACAGCACATGAATGAAAAGTGAAACTTCTTAGAACTGACATAAAAGAAGATAACGATGATTAGAAAGATTATGATAGTATTGAAACTCATCTCGATTAATATTTGAATGGAAAAATGAACAACAAAATAGGCAAATGAAGAAACAAGTACAAAAAAAGAGAAAGACACATAAAACTTCATAACATTATTTGTAAATAAATTTTCTTGATAATAAACGATAGGAGAATATAGAAAATTTCTTTCAAAATATGAAATCAAAACATATAAGAATGGACAATTATATCTGGCAATTATTAATACCGAGTATTTATATAGATTATTTCTTATATAGTAGTTTACTTGATGAATCGATCATATGTTTCTGTGTTATTACTAACTGTAGTAGAGTTGTAACAAGTAATGAGAAACGATTGATCTAGTAAAGAACTGCTCATCGAATCGTATGAAGTTGTTTTTTAGTTTTTTCAATGTGTTTCTTCTATAGAAAAGTGTTTTATTTATGTAAATGAAACATTGCTAATGATATGAATATTGAACTTGAAAGTTTTGAAACGATCACTTGAATATGACATATATAGATCGATTAGTATAATTGTATCCGATGAAAAAAAAATTCCTATGATTTCGTCGTATCTCTGTTGAATTATATATTTAACATTTTCTCTGAAACACAATCTAAAATCAGTGTTGAAGTATATAGGGTATAAATTTAGCTTTTACCCCCCTTCCTCTACACACAGTGACAAATGCTAACAAAGAGATCATCATAAAATGTCACAGCCATTATTGATATGCTATCAAAGATTATATGTAAAGAATATCTCTGTGTAATATATGAACTACTTCGGAGTTACATTTTTAATGGATTCAATAAAAGGATGACAAAGAAATGTATTTGTAAATAGATAGAATAACTAATCGCTTTGTGATTGACAACAGCAACTATAATATACTTTATACGTAGGGCACTACAAAAGTTTTTTCATACAGCTCTTCTAGAAATGGTAATTTGAGGACATCTGGCCTATCATAAGAGATAAACATATTTAGGATTGTGTGCAAAATTCTATTTCGGATATTCAATGGTTTTGTGATATAATTAATAATGTCTTTAATATTAAAACACATTGTATTAATCGAAAAATTGAAACTATTTTAAAACAATGCAAACAAAGTCTTGGTACAAATATTCATTTGATATCAAAAGTTGATTTGAAAAAATTGATAATTAATACAAATGAAGTATTCAATTATATTTTATTTTCAAATTATTTTTTTTTATTATAGTTAAATTTCTTTCAATGGTTATTCAATGCATGGAATATTGCTTATCCAATATCATTAATAGATCAAAATGATAATAATCTGTTTGTTCTTTTTAATTCTATAGCATTAGAACCACCTGTTCCTTTAGTAAATACATTTTATCTTAATGATAATTTAACGAAAAAAAATATTTTTATATTTTTATTAGAATACAATATGGAGCGAATCATGGTCAGTAGATGAATATGAGTCGGAAATTTATTTTCATTTGTTACATCCATGTGATTCATCAATTCTCTTTTATCTTTATAAATTATTTCCATCACAAAAAATATTACTTGCTTCAAAAAATTTCTTACTAATTCAAGAGGGTGCAATAGAAATTTTAGTTCAATATCATCATCATATACTAATCAAAAGACAGGTATACTTTTTGTTTGTTTGTTTTATTCTATTTTAATAAACAATTGCTTAACCTATATTTCATTAGATATTAGCGTTAGTTTTCGTGCACTTAATTTAAGTATAAGTAACAATGTGACGGATACAAATGCTAGATTTATACAAGAATCATTTCAATATGTTCTTAGAAAATATTATGTCATTATTTGGGCATTTTTATTTAAACAAGATTATGTCTTTAAAGTATTTTGTTTTTGTAAAATAATTAATGACAAAATTCATTTTTTTTCCTTTGTATATTTAGATTGAAGAAAAAATAAAGATTCTTCTCATATCTTTGAGCGAATAAATGGTAATTTGAAAGAAAAAAACGATAATATTAAAACTTTTTAAAAATATAAATTTATTTTAAAATTAAGGTAATGACTTGATGTATTATCAATGGAAACATTTAGCACTTTATCATTATTTATTAGCACCGACTCTTACTTCTACTTGCAATATATGTGGTCTACATCCTATAGCAAACAAAGCTCTTTATGTAAAAAACAAAATTTTTTCTTTTCTTCAATTATAAGATTTAATCTTCATTATAATTTTTATTTTTAAGGATTCATGTACAATATTATCACCTACACGACATACAATAGAAAAGAAAATTGATACAAATGAAATAGATAAAAACGAAGATCAATCAAGTTCATTAATATTTGAACTTGATAAAAATTCATTTTCTTATACAAGCAAATATAATATGAGACCAGATGGATTTAATTCATTTGAAGTTATGTTTTTAACAACTAATAATGAAGATGAACAATCAAATTCTCCAATATTCTCATCTATTCATATAGGATGTTTAATGTAAATTCTGAATATAAATTTTTCTAAAAGAGAAGATCTTCTTATTAACTTTTTCTAGGAATAATTTTCATATAAAAGAAGATGAACAAATACTATTTAAATATGGTACTAGTGAACAAAATCAAATGCAAGAAATTTATAATGGTTCACGGTTACGTATTAATATATTATTTACTGATAAACCGGTATAATCTAATTCAGTTTTTATTTTTGTCTAGTAAAAACTAGTTTTTTATTTTATTTTTTTGTTTGGATAGAATATTTATGAATTAGTACTATTAGTCAATAATATACCATGGTCTCGTCAAACAATCAAACGTAAATTAATTCAAACCATGTTTCAACCATTTATTCAAACTTCAGAAATTGATATATTTGAACGAAATATTCGTATGATTATCCTTTATAATAAATCTGCTCTTGTTTGTTTTTTTTTATTTTATACTTTTAATAACGAAATATTTTCTATATTTGTTAGGATAAGGCAATTATTAATCCATCTACATTAAATACAATAAAAAAACCATGGAAAGTTGGTATGCGTCTTGAAGCAAAAAATCGAAAAAATCCATCTATATTAGCTATTGCTAATATTAGTAAATATTGTTTTCTATGTTTTTTGTGCTTTATTGATTCAAATATATATATATTATAGCTGAAGTTTATGATGACAATCGTATACGTATTAATTTTGATGGATGGACATCAACATTTGATTATACAGCTGCAATTGATAATCCTGATTTTCATCCTTGTGGCTATTGGGAATATATTCAACGTGTTTTATATAAAAATGTGAATACTTCGAAAATAAATTCACATTTTACATTTACTCGTTATGATAAACCAAAATGTAAATATAGAAACAAAAAACACTATTATTTTTTTTAATGTATTATGAAATTATATTTTATTTTAGCTTATGATGATTCATTTAGTTGGCGTAATTATTTAACACAAAAAAATCAAGAACCAGTACCATTCGAATGTTTTAATGATGTAGGAAACATTTCTTTCGAGATGAATTATGAAAATAAAACTTAAATTTATCCAATGTCTAATAATTTAGATACAAACAGAAGGTATGCCTATCGAATATTTTCCATATGGTATAACAAAATCTGCATTTACTTGTCTTTCATGTCGTCATATTTATAATGTCCGAGTTAAATATCATAAAATGAAAACGATCATTCAAAACGAAATAGTTAATAATATACTTTATGAACATCATATAGAATCAGCTAATCCTACATCAATTACAAGTCCAGGTATAGTTTTATTGCCAATACCATTTGATATATCAACGTTAACATATCCATGTTTAAAACAATTTCAATATTCATCCGATTTTTATGTTCATTTAACATGCAACCATCGAAGTACGATGAAAAAATTTTTGAGAAGTAATTCCATTATTGATTTAATTTAATTAGGTATTTCTCCATTGGACTCAACAACTATTATATCAGGTGGACATTTAATGGATAGTGAAGGTGATAAAATTAAAAAAGATGAACTTTCTATGCCCCTTATAACACTATGTATGCTAACTGCTATTGATCTCGTTCGAAATCAAGTAAATTTACTAAGGGTGACGTACGTTTCGTCTCAACTCATTCCGAACTCCAGACATGTGTCCAGATATCCGGAAATGAACTTTTGTCCTTAAAAGTTAATGACCGGAGTTCGTATATGTTTCCCTACAGGAGACCGTAATTGAAAAGTAGGAAAATCGGAATACTGCAACCGGATGCTCGGAACAAAATGTTAATTGCTGTATCTAGTGTGGGACTGGAGATCGTAACGAGTAAGATCCAAACGTATGAAAAAATAAATATACTGAACAATTTTATCTGTACATTTCATTCTTCTCATTATGATATTAAATTGAATATCTACTCAAATCTAAATGTAAAAGTGAATAAAGACTGTTTGTTTTTTCCTGTTTCAACTAGAATTGGAATAGTAAAAGTAAGCAGTCTCGATTGGTCGTATTCTTTAAGATGTTCTTAATCAACCATCTTAGTAGACAAGCATGTCACTTCAAAATATTACAAGGAGTATATCTCAAGATAGATAGTTACAAATATCCTGCCCTTTTCTTAACTAATATCTTGTCATTTTCATTCTGATGATCTGATAGTCTTTATTACAATCACCCTGTCTTTGTCATTATGAACTTCCGGATCTTTTCATTCCAATCTCCAGTAAAAATTCCACTGTTCAACTACCAAAAATAGGTTTTTAGATTTTCGTTACGAATTCCTAGACAAACTTCATTCCGAACGTCCTGTTTTTTGTTGCATTTTATTGATTTTGTCATCGACAATTCCATTCCGAACATCCTGTCTTTTTTCTCATGTCCGGAGATCGTAACAGACTATGACAACCGGAGTCCGTAACGGAAAAGTGAGACGAAATGTCACTTTCCCTTTACTAATACAAATTTATTTTTCATTAATAATTTTTTTTTGTCCCTTGAAGAAACGTCCAATAGCACCTTCAACATCAAAATTAATTTCAAATAATAATAATTTATGTGACAAACGTGTTATTGATTATTATATACGACGTTGGCTTGATTTAAGTGCCTATATAACATGTTTTCATTCAACAAGTTTTTATAATGAAAATTCATTAACAATAAATCTATCTCAAATAAATCTTATACCATTTTATACATCATATATTGATCCTGATTTATATATTAATCTTAATAGTGGTTTTACATCAATAATAATTAATTCTAAATCTTCATTAAATACAAATAAAAAAAATCAATTTGGTAAATATGGTGAATGTTATTATTGTTGTTTACTTCGTAAAGATGAAATAAAAGAACAATCAAATATATCATTACAAAAACGTTTAGAATTGATTGGTGATTATGCATCAAGTATATATTATCTTGAATTATATGAACAAGAAAAAGAAAATTTAACTAAAAATGATTTAATATTAGATGACAATTTTTTTCTTAAATTTAATGGTTTAGAAATTATTGATATAACAAATATAATTATTGATCGTTTTCAATTATGTCATAAGAATATATATTGTTTAAAAAACCTTGCATATCTTTCACTTGAAAATAATAATCTTTCAATGATTCAAATTGATTTTAACTATCTAAATGAATTAACTTATTTAAAATTAATTGAAAATCCACTTGAATCATTACCAGTAAATTGTTTATCATCAAAATCATTACAAACTGTTGAATTATCTAAACTTGGTCGATTAGTTGAAATTGATTCTGATACAAAATTTTCATCAAAATTAAAAACATTATTAATTACAGAGAGTATATTAATAACATTACCACACACATTAGCAACAGGCAATCGAAATAAATTAACTAAATTAAAATTAAATGGTGTTCCATGGTGGGGAGCTGGTGGTTTGAATGTTAATGAAGTTATTAAATATGATTCATTTCTTAAAAAATTTGTTATATTTCTTGATTCTGAAGAATTAGCAAAAATTCATCATATGTATGATACAGATCTTAATGGAGTTTTATCATATTCAGAAATTAATTTAATGAATGCTCATATATATCGTTATATTCCACGATTAAGATCATCCAATACAAAGATTGTAAGAATCATATTTTATTTTAACAGTTCTTTTGTTTTTGGTGAAACATGATCTAAAACGAGTCTTGAAGTATAAACATAGAAATTTTCACTTCTCCCAGACGTGACAAATATCTCTCGAAAATCATTATCTATATTACTAAAGACTATTACAGACTAGTTAGCTATGGACCCACATTTTGTGCACTCAGATCTGAGAAAAACTAAACTTCGGAACCTGAACGCGACGTTCAGTTAGACTGTGTATCCACCGTTTCCTATTACAGAACAGAGCAGACAGACATAATCATCAAACTAAAATATACTATATTGTTATTAACTAGTTACTTAGAATAGTAAGCTATAATAAAACAGTAATATATCTTTTGTCTGTCGCATGAAAGAGACTATAGATTAGAGCGTGTTGAACTTAAAATTTTCGAATTTGAACCTTCTCAAACTGTACTTTGATATTTTCGATAAAATTTTCCCAATGGCATAGGATAATGACCTCAAAGATTGGATATGATTTTTTTTCTTTTGTTTTTACTATTCTTGTGACAGGCACATTGTACATATTTCGGAGATGATTATTCTATCACGTGCAAAACTTTTGGACTTGGATTCAGTTAATAGAATAATTTCAAATCTAGAACTGATAAAGTCTCGGTTCACAACGAACCCGATAGACGACTCTAGTGTAGGAAATATACAACAATTGTCCTATCACCAGTATGGGTCGCTAAAAATTTGTATTTTACATTTTAATCTCACAAGTAGCTTTCTTTCTACACGTTTATTTGTAGTCGAATTCCGATCAATCATCTATTGAATCGACACATACAAATGAATCAGATATTTTTAAACAAGATTCATTTAGTACTGATCTATCGTGTATTCCACCGACAATATTTTATCTTGAAAATTTAATTGAACTTACAATTGAATATCAAGGAATTAAAATTGTACCAGATGCAATCAAAAATCTAAAACATTTAGTTATATTCAGTTTAAATTATTGTATTGAACTTGAAACATTAAGTGCATATGTTGGACTTTTACCACTTCGTGAACTCAATTTAAATGGATGTGTTTCATTAAAAACACCACCAATAGAAATTACACGTCGTGGCCATACACAAACCATGGCATTTTTAAAACGATTGATTAGTGGTTCAACATTATGTAAAAGAACGAAACTCATGTTGGTTGGTCTCGGTGGAGCAGGCAAAACAAGTTTAGTACGTGCTTTTCGTAAATATCATTCAGATAAACCACCAGAAATCACCGATGGCATTGATATTGTCAAATGGAAAGTACCATTGAATCAACCTGATGATTTTCTTGAATTTAGCGTATGGGATTTTGCAGGACAATCTGTTTATTATCATGCTCATCAAGTAAAATATACAAAGTACTTTTTTCTTCTCTTTACTTTTCTTAATTTAGTTTTTTTTGGCTAAAAAAGCTGTTTATATTCTTGTGTGGAATATTCGTCTTGGAGCTGAGCATGGTGGTCTTGATTTTTGGCTTTCTTCTATTTGCTGCCATGCGCCTAATGCACCTATATTTGTTGTTGGTACACATTCCGATGTAGTATCTCGCATTGATCTATGTCAAGACGATCTTAAACGACGTTATCCTCAAATAACTGGATTTTTTAATGTTAGTACACGTACACATGATAATATTAAGGAATTGATTGAGGCTATTATTAAAACAACATTAGCATTACCTTATATGGATAAACAAATTCCAAAAGTATGGCTTACTTTTGAAAAATTAATTGGTGAATGTAAGGAAGATATATTGACATACGATCAAGTAGCAGATATAGCTCCTAATGCTGGTATAATTGATCCAGGTGAAATTCTTCAAGCTATACAATTTTTAAGTGATTTTGGTTCTTTACAATATTTTTCTTCGGAACATTTGAAAAATTATGTTGTTATTAATCCACAATGGATTATTAATGCTATGGCTTGTATTGTTAGTATTAAAGATAGTCCTGTCAAAAAGGGACGTCTATATCACTCAGATATTGATGTTATTTGGAAAAATTATGATAAAAATCTACATCCTTGGATTTTGAAATTAACTGAAGCATTCGATTTAACTTTTCCAGTACCTGATCAAAATATGAATTTAGTATCATGTCTCTTACCTGAAAAAGAACCTAAGGTGTGACAATACAGTTTTGTTTTGTTTTTGCATATACATTAATGTTAATTTGTTTCACTTGAATGTGTTTTAGTATATATGGAATAATGATGCTAATGAAACAGAAATGCGAGAAATGAAAATTACTTATACATTTAATTACTTACCAGGTATGTCATATCGAATTTATATCAGATCACGAAATAGTAATTTCGTCCAATTTAAGATTCGTCTGAAGGTTTCAGATGAATCTTATATTGATCTAGATCTATGGCGAATTGAAAATTGAATAGAATTAATCTCGAATCAGAATGTAAGTGTGAATTTGATTGTTCTTTTCATCTCACATAAAAAAAGGTCTTTTTAATTTTTATTCATATGTTTCTACTTCAATTTTTATTCAATGCATTATTTGCACTAAATCAACACCTCTAAACATAGGATGCACTATAATTAGCGTGTAATTCGAGATTGATCTAGATGAATTTGAGATTGGATGCTAACATATATATGTATATATATCAGTTTTTACGAAATACAATATAAAAATTATTCAGAAAAATTAGAATTTCACTTTTATAATGCTTTACATGATTGTAAATCTATTTAGTTCGTATTGAATTTCATACTTATAACGAAACAGATATTTGGAGTGCTATGGTTTAGTTTAGACAATATTTGAACTTTTTATTAATACGAATCAATTCATAGCTAAACAAGTTAAATGTTTATCAGATTTAGATCTACGTTGAGTCAAATAAAAACTTCAATTAACTAAAATTTTTTCATACTTATCATGTCCTGAGCTTATTTATATATTTATTTGGTGTAAATTTATACTAACTATTATAAAACTAATTTAAAAAAGGACATATCGAACAAATATAGGGATGTACAAATTCAGTGACTTATATCTTCATAATATCATAAATGACTTTCGAGTTTCTTCAACTTATTTTAATGCTTAGATTTACGTTCTGTAAATATATAATACATTATGATGGTATTAGAAGAAAGTCATGATATAGAAGAGCTAGTTCATATTTTTAGCTATATATTTATCTAGAAATACAATTAATCTTGCCTGCTGTTATGTGAATCGAACTATAATATTATGNAGGTTGAAGATTTTATCGATACATCAAGTACAACACCAATGAGTTCAGTACCAGTTCAATTTTTAATTTATGTTCAATCACAACCAGCTTGTTCACTAGAACCTCTAATTATTCCTCTAGATCGTTGTCTAGAAGTACAAGTTGGTGTCTCAATCAGCTTTAATCTATCTGCAATAAATTTATGTACTCCAAGTGTGGCTACACTTACTGATATCGTTGTTTTAAGTGGAATTACTGGTATGACTCATAGTAATCTTACACATTCATCAACAAATTCATCGATCTACTATATGAAGTTCACTTGGACACCACAGGCAAATCAAATTGGATCGCAGCAATTATGTACCGTAGCATACACAAGGTAAATTTTTTCTTGACTAGATTGTCATGATTGTATCCTGGAGAAAATCCTTAACAGATTCGATGCGAACTCTTCAAGAATTCACTATTTTTTCCTTAGAAAACAGTTAAATTCTGAAGAAAACGTGTAGTTACGGAATCTCAAGATCCTCTCAGAATTTGAAATAGGATTCAATTATGATCGTGACCAGTTTGTCACTAGGTCTTTAAGACAGGAATCAACTCAGGAAACCATATGTCCAGAAACAAACGTGTAGCCACGAAATAACAAAGATTTTGACAGGAATTGAGACAATATCTTAAAGGGATGTTGAGAATTTTTCCACTGATTTGGATCATGGTACTGTCAGGACTTCAGTGATTCAGTGATTCAGAATTGAGCAAGAAATTTCTCTCTATACCACAGAGGACTATGCTAGGTATCCTAGAGGCTATTATCAGATTGTCTGACAGGGTCCTTGAAGAACTTTCTAAACAGAACAGAAAAGAAATTAGTACAAAGTATTGATCTTTAGAGACCTTCAGTGTTTTAACCGGGTGTGTGGATATGGGATCATCTTGTTTTTATCCATACCTACATGCTACTTTTATTTTCTTTTTAAGGTCCTACTCTGAATGAGTTACTATTCTTGATTTTATCTTCGTCTCAGAATTACGAGCAGATCCTGATCCTATCTACTATTTCCGCTAGGGTCCCAGCTAGGATCGAGATAAAATGCTGGTAAAATTTTGAATTGTTCATCTAGGAAAAAATCTTGGCAGGATTTTGAACAAACTCTGAATATGAATCTGTGTAACCGTATGAGATCCTGCGCACACTAATTACTAGTATTCGAGATAGGATGCTAAATAAAACTTGACAAGATCCTTGGGATCCAGAATCCTAATAGATCCTTCTAGGATCTCTCAAGGAATGAGCAGGATTGAGACTATGATAATAATATCTTTTCGTTTTGGTTAATTAGTGAAAGCTTACAATCTGACCAGTATTGTGTTGCATTTACTGTAAAAAATTCATCTAATATTTGTGTAACAACTACAACTTCTACTTCAACTACTACCTCTACTACAACTACACCCACAACAACTACTTCTATAACGACCTCTTCCACAACGACCTCTTCCACAACGACCACTTCCTCTATAACCACATCCACAACAACGACGTCCACAAAAACCACTTCCACAGCGACCACTTCTACAACGACCACGTCCAGCACAACCACTTCCACAACGACATCATCAACAACTACAACTACAACGGTAACCAGCAGTACAACAACAACAACTACAACGGTAACCAGCAGTACAACAACAACAACTACAACGGTAACCAGCAGTACAACAACAACAACTACTACGACGTCGACCGCTACGTCGAGCTCACAACTATTCACCGATCAATCGCTCAATCATCTTCTTCTGGTGCTTGGATTAGGTTTAGGCCTTGGCCTTCCACTACTGCTCGTTCTAAGTATATTGTCTACTTGTCTTTGTTGTCGATGTTGTCCAGGACTTTTCTGGTACGTAGATATATGTTATACATGTTTGTGTGTGTATTGAATTCATTTCGTTTTCTTAGGAGAAAATGGCGTCACAGGATTTGGGGAGACGAGCATGCCTACTGCGAAGTATGCGGAAGACAATGTAATGGTCACTCATACAATAACAATAGTAAAATGTTTGATGACGATCCAGGGAATTATCGACAGCAATACATCAATGATACTTCGCCGACACCAACGACAGATTCATTCTATGAACATTCATCTCTCTCTCGTTCATTTTCGCCTTTTGATGTTCCATCGCAGACCACTACATGGACTAGGTTCATGTCATCATCCTCAGTTAATGTGATGCCAGGCGAAGACATTCCAACACAAGCGGTTCGCTCTGCGCAACTACATTTGCTTGAACCTGGTGGATCAATACTTGTGCGTGCTTATGTGGCACAGGAACAAACAAAAGACAACTTTTCTGACTGATTTACATTTTTGATACAGTACTGCGTTGATCTGATCTTGCCTAATCATAATTCTATGCCACAAAATTGTAAATATAGATACCTTTTATTCATAAACATACATGGAACTATTTGTGCGTTTGCTATCAAACATTATTTGCAAAAAAAAACGAATTTTCTCATAGAATACAGAAGGACATGGTGTGAATGTCACTGTAGCTATAGTTTGAGTATGGATTTAGTTGGTTTGTGCAGGTGTGGGAGCGGGAAGGGGACGGGAGGGAAGAGATGTGTGGGCATGAACCTTGAAAAAGAATCAATAAGTTGCAGAAATCTGAAAAAAAATCAATCATCAAGGGAAAGAAGCCTTCTAAATTTCCTTTTTCTTCATTCATACTAGTGATATCTTCTAATGTATCGAAATCTAACGAAGTCAAACTACAAAAAAAATAACCGATTATATATCAAAATCTTACTACTTAACTTGATTATACTTTGAAAATTTTCATATCACTTCTTCAATTCTTAGAAAAAATTGAGCAACGAACTTATTTTTGTACTCTAACGTATTATTAGTTTAACTTATAAAATGTTGGTATCATTAATTTCTGAGATTTTTTGAAATATTTTGTGCAAATAATAATGTCAGTATCGCATTATTGACTGATTTTTATTGTAATAGTTGCCTTTAACTACAGTTGACACAAAGGACTTTCTGTTATCTTGTTGAGAAAGAAACGGGATCCGGACATTTGGTCGCCGGACAGTTGCGCACGGACAGTTGGTCGTATAGTGTAAATAAGAGGAATATGAGTATAATAACCACACAACACTAATACAATGAATTGATCTCGTGTGGAAGAATAATCATCATGATTGAGTAATTGATGT